AGATCCCGCATGTCGTCGGGACACTTGTCGTCTCTTTGCCGTCAACGTACGAGGGTGGTGAGCTGACGTTCACCAACGGCACCGACACGCAGGTGCTGACAGCGTCGCGGAAAGGCGTGCAGCTCTTTGCCTCACTCAATAAGATCACGAGTGCGCCAATCACATCCGGCCGTCGCGTGGCGCTTGTGTACGCCTTGACGTGTGACGCGCAGTCGTGGGTGCCGCCAGTGATCCGAGACGACGTCGTCGAGGGATTTGCGACGATCGCGCAAGACCCACCGAATGAAGTTTGGTACGTCGCGCGGGCAGTTGACTTGAACTCGACGACCCTCGAGGTCGTGAACCTCAAGCGCCTCGACGCGACATTCGTCGATTTACTTGTTGCGACGGGCGACTACGACGTTGCGCTTGCCAGGTTCGCGGACTGCGATGTGTATGTCTATGACAAATACGGCACTGCATTCGAAGTCACGAGCGAGTTCGACGCCTACGAAGAGGACGACGATCATGACGGCCATGACAAAGCATGTGACGATGATGACGGTGAAGACGACGACTCGTGGTGCTACATGCCGTGGTATGAAAATATCATCGTGGACTTCACGCACCACGAAGCGTGCAATGTCCCCGACGCTATCCTTTGGAAGCTCGAATGCAATACGGCCGACTTCTTCCTGCGCAGTCGGCGCGCTGGCGACGGTCGGTTCAAACTGCCCGGCGCTGCAATCGTCTTTTGGCCCAAGAGCCGTCGCCTCACGATCGCGGAGGCGATCGGTGCTCTCGAGATGCTGCGCGACGCCATCGAATGTGGCGACGTGGGCACTCTCGGCCTTGGACTCCGCGAGTTTGTGCTTAGTACGCTCGCAGAATTCGACACCGAAGACGACTGTGGCCCCAGCCATGCCGGGGTCACGATGGGCAGCTCTTGCTCCAGTACAAGGATATGGAGCTGCTCGAGCCCTTCATTCGGGATACGCAGCATCTCCCGTTGGACGAAGCCAACGACACTGCGCGCTTCATCCATACGAGCTTGGAAACGTGTAGCTGGCCGGCACTGCTGCCTGCCATGGAGAGCTTCCTCGCGCGTGCAGCACGGAAGAGCGACGCCTCCGCTATTTGCCGCCTTCTAGCCAGCTTGGCAGGTCTGGCTTCGGCAGACGACGCTGTCTGTCCGCCGCTGACGCAGCCGTACACTGGTGAGTTTCTCAAGTCCTGTTGGCAGGCGGTTGTCATCGAGCCCGAGTTTCGACCCGGTAACGCTCCGACGGAGCACTGCATTCTCTTGGATTGGTACTTTGACGATTTCCTGCCGACGCGTCCGGGCGACAACTACCTCGGCCAGTGGCTACCACCTCCGCTGCTCCTGGTCGT